AATATATTAAAATTTTCAAAGTAATTAAGAATATATACACAAAATACTGTAACAATGTGTTAAAATAATAAAAAAAAATCCTCATCACAATTAGAGATAGGTAGTTAATCATTAGCTTTTGGGAGATGAGATTGAGACAATCCATGGAACTACTGGTAGTGACAGTAACTGTAGTTGTAACTAGTTTTGTATTTATCACAAGATGTTCTAATAAAGCTCGTATTTTATTTGCACGGGCTGAAGTTTTATTTTATTTATGAGATTTTGATTTTTTTTTGTTTTTATCTTTAATTTTTTAATTTTTAATATTTTTAATCTTTAATAATAATATGACTAATTAGAAAATTGTTACGTGTTAAGTTTTTATGTCACGTGTCTTATTGTTGTTGGGTGACATTATCTATTATTAGAGATTAAAAATTAGAGCCAGCAAAATGGGTGGATAATGGTATTGGACAGAAAATTTTCATTAAATGGGTAGGCTTGAATTCTAAAAAATAAGATTTGAAATTATTTCGAGCTATTTTAGTCTAATCCAAATATGTTTGATACTTGATAGGACTTTAATCAAGCTAGCTTCATCAGCCAACATATTATATTAGAATTTGTTTTATATTTTTGTAAACTTATTATGTGTATAAACTTTTTACCTTTAAAAATTTGTTTAATTGTAAACTTATTTATATTTTTTTGCACTTATTATGTGTATAGAAATATAAAAATAATTGTTACAAAAAAAAACCCAATAGCCTTTTATAACTTAATAAAAAAACATAAAAAATAATCTAATACAAAAATTGGAACAAAAAAAGTAGCATATTAAGTTGATACAATAACATGTTAGAAACACTAAAAAAAATAGTGACATGTTGTTACAAAAATAGTAAAAAAATGGCATGTTACAAAAATTAAAAAAAAAAGCAATAAAAAAAATTATCCAGACTATTGAACTGGCCCACAGAAATCAGTAGCTTCAATAGAATAAGGCTTGAGTAGTACAAATGCAAGGCTATTTTTATTTTACGCTAAATAAGTTTAACCTATTATTTGAATCCGCTATTCGTATCAAGCTGTCTTGCCTATTTTGATAGCTCTATTAAAAATATTGAATTTAAAATAATTAAATAATAAAAGAAAAACAATAATTAGGGATTGAAATCAAATTTATATTTGGGATAAATTTTCAACATGTTTTTATCGAATTTTAAGAGTTATGAATAAAAATTTAGGTAAATACACTATTTTCCTTAATTTAATAAAAATATTTTTTATCTCTGTACTTGCTCACAATTTATTTCATATTTTCAACTTTTCATGGAATTATGGTTTTAGAAAAAACCCATAAACATTATAGTAAATAATTAAAGACATGTAGGAAAAAATTCCAAGCAGCATAAGTAATTAATTTACTACATTTATATTAATATTGTTAACATTATATATTCAATTAAGCGTGGAGATCAAGAAAAAATAGAAAATAGTAATGTGAAAATATGGAGAAAAAAAAGGTAAAAGAGAAAAGAAATTTCAAGGAAAGAAGATTTAGAGCATGTTTAATTTATATTTTAAAAATAATTTTTATTCTTAAAAATAAAATATAATACAAATTTATATTATTCTTTCTATTATTTATTCTACTTTATTTATTATTTTGTTAAAAGTAGAAGAGCGGTAGAAAGATACTCACTCTTTAATGAACATTTTTAAATATATTTTATTTGTTAAATGAAGTTTAAATTAAAATTAAGAATCATATAATTTTTAATATATGTTAATATATTTAATAATAAAAAAGTGTATTATTATTATTCTTAAAAGCTTTACAGTACCGTAAAGCACGTTAAAGATCTCATGTTCTGCTAATGTTTATTGTATATTTTGATTAAAATGCTCTTCATTTATTATATACATGAATCATGTGTCCAAACTTAGTTATTCAAACGATTGGAAGCATAATTAGTAATTTGGCCTCGTTATTTAAGATTGTAAGCATAGGAATAATAATTTGTGTTCATCAAATTATCTGTAATGGTAACTCTAGGTTTTTAATTTCATAAATTATGAATGACTTGGATTCGATGCCCTGGTTTGAAGGGTGATTTCTTGATTTCAATTCCATATCTTTGCTTTATCACTGCTTCAAGACTTATGTTATATGATGAGAAAAAGAAAGCATGTTTAAGGAATATTTGTAAAAATACTAGTGGAGGTAAATTTGAATGGCAAGAGGCTTGATATAGTTTAAGAAAGATCTTGGGTTCAAATTTTTGTATATACAAAAAATTTCAATAGTAAATTCATCTATCATATCTAGATGTGCAATTTAGGTTAAATTCAAATTAAATTGGATAAAAAAATATTTATAAAAATAACAAAAATAAATTTTTTTTTTGTAAAACTAGGGTCGAGCTGACTTTAATATAGGAAAAAAGTTAATTTTAATATGAGACATTTTCATAGTTATTAAAATTATTATAATTTTATTTAGCTTTTTTCATATTTTTAGATATAAAAATACTTCTTAAATTAATTTACATTATTATAAACTAAACTAATTTTTATATTATAAATAATTTTATAAAAAATATCTTATTTGTTGATTCAATAATTAAATTAATTTTATTTTAATTATTTGAGTCAAATTTTATTAAATTTGAATAATTTTAACAGCATAATTAATTTATTCTTATATATATATATTAATTTAATGTATTAAAATAATGTATTAAATAATTTTATATCAATTTAAAATTTTATAAATATAATTGATATGATAAATTTTAAATTTTAATTATTAATTTTAAAATAAAATTACAATAATATAAAAATAAACATTATACCGATATAATTTAATTATTTCTCACTCTCGACACACGTGTATATACAACACCCAAATGTTTATACCATCCTATGTCATTTCAAACTAAACATGTCCCAACAGAGATCGTGAGAAATTTGGAAACTTGAAACAAAAGCGACAGGAAACAAATTATATAAAAAAAATAATTCTTTCACAATTTTTAATTTAATTTTATTCCATTGTATAAAAAAACACCTGTATATTACATTATTCATTATATTTTTTCTTTTTTTCTTTTTCTATTTTTCACGGTGTGAGAGAATAATTGTTGAAGAGGAAATCATCTCTATTTGCAGGAACCTGGTGTACCTAGTTTATAACCCACAAATGAACAGGGAGGGGAAATAAATCACAATTTAATCACATGCTACCAAAAAAGAAGGCTGCTATGATTACTTTTTAAATTATATGAACCGTGATATCCAATTTTTTGTGGTCACCAAAGAGACCATCAAAAACAATTTCTAAGTTTCAAAATCGCAATCGGGTTTTCCTCCCCATTCACAATCGCAATTACAATTGGGTTTTTGTTTCCTTCCATCGGCTTCCGAGGTCTCGCTTGAATTTTGGAATTAGGACTCCAAGTCTTACTCCAAAAGCCATCAATTCGTGCTGGAATTTTTGGCTTTTGGACCTGCAGAGATAGGATTCTTTCATTTTCTGATTGTTCTCCTTGAAAAAAAAGAGATAACTCTCTCTTTGTGATCATTGACAGAATGCACTTGTCTATCAACTTAACGAGGCATGCAAAGGAGAAAATTGTGGGTACAAAAGTGTTTGCGGAGAGCAATGAAACGAGACACTCTTTTGTCATAGGAGCTACAAAGACGTCACGGAATACGTATGCGGAAAAGCTTAAAGCACCCCGTATAGTTGAGACACACATAGGACAGAAGTGGGTGAAAAAGAAAAAACCTTGGGCTCACCTTGAGTTTGAGGTGAATGTGGGGCGAATTGAGGAGTGTAGAGGTGTTATGGTCATACGCCTTCATAGAAAACAAGATATAAAAAATATGCGAGTGGCTCTTCTTGCGAAAAGGTATGTTGGATATTAATCTCACGACCATGGGTGATGATATAGTGTTGGTGGAATCTGATGCGGGGGTAGATTTAGAGGATACAGTATCGTTCAACAAATTGTGGTGGGAGAAATGGTTCTATGATCTATGAGAGTGGCACCCAAGTATGGTAGCTGCACGAAGGGTGACTTGGGTACGTTGTTATGGGGTCCCTTTGCATGCTTGGAGTGAATTATTCTTCCATAAGTTGGTTTCTTCGCTTGGTGATTTTATCCAGATAGACCAAGTCACAGTAGAAAGACGATGATTGGATTATGGGAGAATACAATTAGGTACTACCATTGCTGAGCTTATCAAGCAAAACATTATAGTGAAAGTCAATGATCATTTTTACTCAATAGTCATGCTTGAAGAGTATGCCTGTGACGTAGTAGCTGCAACAGAGAAAGGCGTGATTAACTCTTTTGAGGACGACAATGACTCATCTGAGGTTGGTTCAATAGAGTTGGAAGTATTGGATAACTATTCTAGTGAGGAGGAGGGTGTGCTGCAAGGTGATATCAGAAGTAAGGGGCGGTTGGTTGATTCTGTGATTACGGGGTAAACTGTCAGTAAAAGGGAGTTTCGTGGATGAGGGTTTAGGGGCTGGTGGTGTGGATGCTATGGGTCTGACAATGGCAGTCTGTGATGCTGTGAATGAGCCTTCTGAAAATGTGGAGAGGGAATTACCAATAGTAAGAGATGGGTTGAATTTGTCAGACCCGTTCAGATTAGATGCATTGATTTGGAAAAATCCAGAATCACGGGGTATGAAGACAATTGGGACAGCGCAAGTCGACCCCTCTCAATCCAAAATTGAGATAGAGAGGGTCAATGTGCGTGAATCCCTTCGGATGGTACGCTCTGTGAAAGGTAGTCGAGGTAATGAAGGAGGGAAGAGACATAAGAGCGCAGTTTCTGTAGAACCCGCTTAAAAAAACCTTAAGAATCATAATAAAGAAGTGTCAATGTCATTGCAACTTAGAAGACAGGTATCGCTAACTGATGAAATCTCAGTTAATGCTTCCAAGAGCTCCTACAACTCGCATCCTCCCAATCCTTCAGTGGAGGTGGGGGAGTAAATGGCTGCTATAGATTGTGATGATGATATAATGGCGTCGAGATTACTAGACATTGATAAGAAGGTTGGTTTGGTTGTATATGGAAATCATGAGCAGGTTCGAGAGAAATTGATTGAGATGGAGGTACGTGATAGAACGATTGCAGAAGAACATGGGGTTCGCTTTGATTCTAAATGAAGATTGACTCATTTAATTGTCGAGGGCTGGGGAGCGAGGTAAAGCAAAAGAAGGTTTGTGAGATTGTTCGCTCTGAAGGTCTGGAGTTCTTAGCGATTCAGGAAACAAAACTTGAGACATGTAATAGTAATTTATGTGCGCATTTGTGGGGTTCTGTGGATTTTGATCGGTGTACCTTGCCCTCCATTGGCAGAAGCGGGGGTATGCTTTTACTTTGGAATACTTCCAAAAGTCAAATACTTTTCTCCTTTTCTGGTACTGGGTTCCTGGGTGTTTGCTTGCAAGTATTAACTACTGAAAACCTATGCGTTATGGTGAATGTCTATGCATCGTGTAGACTAAGTGAGAAGAGAAATTTATGGGAAGATTTGCTCATGACAAGAAGAAGTTTTGACAAATTTATGTGGTGTATATTGGGTGACTTCAATGCTGTGAGACAGGTGAAAGTCTAGGAAAGGTTGTCAAACAGACCATCATATCTCTGAAATGGATGGCTTCAATTCTTTCATTCAGGAAATGGAACTTGTGGATCTTCCACTTGTGGGTAAAAAATTTACATGGATAAAAAGGGATACTTCTATGATGAGCAGGCTGGATAGAGTCCTTGTTTCTAGTTCCTAGCTTGATTACTGGGGAGATGGTTTCATTCAGGTTCTAAGCAGAGATGTGTCTAATTATTGTCCTATTATTCTTAAGCACAAAGTGGTTAACTGGGGTTCGAAACCGTTTCGATTTAACAATTGTTGGCTGACTTATAAAGGAGTTGTGAAGGTGGTGGAGGAAGCGTGGAAAAGAGATATTACCCTCCCATAGGCTGCCCAGAGAGCTAGCCAGAGATTGAGAAATGTTAAAATTGCATTGAAAAAATGGAATATTGAGGTATTTAGAAATGTTGATAAGGTGATTTTTGATTTGACACCTGAGTTGAGTTTGATGGATTATAAAAATTCTATGATGGAACATTCCGATGTGGAGAAAGAGCGTCAATAGATATTGGTGGGTGATATTTGGAAGGTTAGGAAGAATAGAGAGAGTCTCATAGCCAAAAAAGCTTGGGTGAGATGGGGGAAGAAGGGTGATTTAAATACAAAGTTCTTTCATTTGTGTGTTAATGGGAGGCGGCGACGAAATAATATACATACACTTCAAATTGGGAAAAGATGTGTCAAAGAGGTTGATGAGATTAAAGCAGATGTGGTGTCCTATTTTGCGGTTCATTTTAGTAGTAGAGGTTGGCTTCGACTTACTATTGATGTTAATGATTTAGTGAGAATCTCTAATCTACAGAATGAGGGGCTTGTTAATGCTTTTTTGGAGGAGGAAGTGGGAAGAATGATTTTGGAGTGTGAGGGGGATAAAAGTCCAGGGCCTGATGATTTCAATTTTATGTTCCTTAAGAGGTTTTGGAGAGTGATCAAAGAAGAAGTGATGTGTATGCTTACTGAATTTTGTAGAAATGAGAAACTACCTAGATCTTTGTTATCTTACTTTGTAGCACTTGTGCCAAAAGTGTCTTGCCTGCAACAGATATCTAATTTTCGGCCTATCTCATTATTAGGTTGTCTTTATAAGATTGTTTCTAAGCTTTTGGCAAATAGGTTGAAAGGGGTTTTGGATTCAATAATTTCAAAAGAGCAGTCAGCCTTTATCCCGGGAAGAACATGTTAGATAGTGTGCTTGTGACTAATGAAGCAGTTGATTATGTGCGGAGGTATAACAAGAGGTGTTTTGTGTTAAAGCTTGATTATGAGAAGGCTTATGATTCGATAGAGTGGGGATATCTTATGTTTATGTTCTGTAACTTTGGATTTTTCAGAAAAATGGGTTTGTTGGATGGAAGCTTGTGTGTGTGGGGGTAGCCTATCAACTTTGATTAATGAGTGTCCTACATTGGAAGTTCATATTGAGCGGGGCCTAAAACAGGGAATCCTCTTGCCCTTTTTCTTTTTCTTGTGGCAGCGGAAGGGTTATGAGTTCTTATGCGGAAGGCAGTGGCTTGTGGGTTGTTCTCTGGTGTAAAGATTGGGGTAGGAGAACCAAATATTTCTTTGCTGCAGTTTGCGGATGACACATTGATTATAGGAGAGGCTTCGGTTCAGAATTTGTGGACTTTGAAAACAGTATTGCGTAGCTTTGAATTAATGTTAGGTATGAAAATTAACTTTCATAAATCTTGTGTATTGGGGATTAACACTGATAATGACTTTGAAAACTTAGCTGCGGAGTTCCTACATTGTAAGATTGGTAGTTTTCCATTAAAGAATATCGGGTTACAGTTAAGTGTTAATCCGAGAAAGCCTAGTGCATGGAAAGGTGTGTTAGAGGCTCTTAAAAAGATGTTAGCGTCATGGAATCATAGATATTTATCGATTGGAGACAGGGTGACTTTGATTAATGTTGTTCTTAATTCTATGTCATTGCACTCATTATCCTTTTTTAAGGTGCCGAAGTCGGTGATAAAGGAGATTGTCACTATTCAACAAAATTTTTTATGGAAGAGTGTTATGGATGGATCTAAAATTCCTTAGGTGAAATGGGAAACGGTATGTAGACTGCGAAAGAATGGTGGCTTGAGCATTAGGAATGTGTAGTAGTTTAACTGGGCGCTTCTTGGTAAATAGATGTGGCGAGGTATTAATTGTTTTAGTTCATTGTGGGTGCGGGTGTTGGAATCTAGGTATGGTAGATTAGCTTCTTCTGTTCAGCGTTTATCAATTCACAACAGATGTTCTTTGTGGTGGCATGATTTGCTAGAGATTATTCATCAAGGGAATTTATGGCTGGATGAGAAGTTTGATAAGAGTGTAGGTGCAGGTTTACACACTCTTTTTTGGAGAGATAAGTGGGTAGGCGGGGTGTAATTATGTAAAGCATTTCCGCGATTGTTTGCGATGGCGAGGAATGTTGAATTATGTGTATTGGAGAATGGTTTTCATGATGGCAATAGGTGGGTTTGGAATGTTAATTGGCAACGAGGACTCTTTCAACATGAGATCTCAAGCTTTAATCTTTTATTGGAGCTTGTGGATGAAGTTTCTATTAAGTTACTACAAGAAGATAAATGGGTATGGAGGGCAGATTCTTCAGGTTGTTATTCAGTGCAATTTGCGTATTCATGGCTATTTGAACTTTTTGGTGGTCCTAATAGTGTAGATCAGTGTACAGCAGATACCTTGCAAAGGCTATGGAGAGGAAAGGTTCCTCTTAAGTGTCTGGTATTTTCTTGGCAATTGTTGTTGAATGCACTTCCTTGTAAAGGTTTGCTGATTGATCGTGGTGTTCAAATTGATGATATAACTTGCTGCTCTGTCATGATTTTGAGGAACTTCCAACTTATTTATTTTTAACATACTCAGTTTCATCTCAAATCTGGTACTTGACTGCGCGTTGGCTTGAATTCTCACTGGTTTTGCCTTCAGATTTATCGACTCACTTACTTTCTTGGGTTAGTGTTGGCTGTAGTAAAAGAGATGGGATATGCTTATTAATTGTTTGTGTAAGTACAATGTGGTTTTTGTGGTTACATAGAAATAGAATTGTATTTTCTAATGGTATTTTTGATGAGAGAGAAGTCCTAGATTTTATTATTATGAGGTCCTGGAAATGGCTACTTGTTAGTAAGGAAGAAGCTATTTTGTTAGCTGATTGATATTTGCACCCACAAATCTGTCTTAGTTTTGTATAAGTATATTTTTACTTTCTATTTCTTTGAATAAATAATTTTTTTCTATATATATGAGTTTTGAATTTCTCTTGAATTCTCTTTAATAATATTTATTTTGTCTATTAAAAAAAAATATGCTACCCCAAAAAAAAACGGTAAGAGAAACAGAGTGAAGGACAAACGTACACCCCATTACACTAAAAAGATCATACATGATAATGAGACGGGGATATATTCAAAAAGGTTCTAGACCCGCCAGTAAACAAAATAAAACCCCCCTCGAAAAAGAACACATAGTTTACCAAATTGTCCAAACAAATGTTGGAATCTTACAACATTATTTGCAATTTTTTTTACTTTATTCAAATTAGGGTTTACAATCTAAAGCCACGTCACAATTCCATGAAACATATATTATCATCCATAAACAACACTCAATCTACACGCTGTAAACCAAAATTGAATGCATGTTTAAAATAAAATGGAGTGAATGGGTTTGTTCACCTCAAAAAATTCTACAGGGTTTTGATGAGAGGGGTGATGCTGCATTGAAGAGGGTGAGGTGTCTGGAATCCACTTCGATTTCCATCAGGATCTTTATTTATCGAAGGCACGTTGATTTGAAAATGCCTGACCTTTAGGGCTTGTCTAGTTGTGTGTGGTGGAGGCAGCTTTTGTGGCAAAGCAATGGGATACGCGATATCGCGAGGATGTGATGGCCCCTCTTCTCTCCCCCTCAATTCCCCTTCCTTTACATCTCATTGCTTTCTAACTCTTTGTTCGCCCTCACGTGAGGTCACCAGCACCATCCACTTTTTCGTGTCTGCTACTTTTGTCCTTCCCTATTATCTATATATAGTATATTATATTTTAATGCTAAAACTTTACATTTTCTTGTAACTCTTTTTTATATCAACTCAGTGCTATTTCACTTCATACCTTTAGCCATAAAGTATATATTGATATTTAATGCGCCAAATCCATTCCCTATTGTTCAAAACTCAAGTGCACAGCATGCAGTTGTGATCTAATGGTGCTTATTTTTTCTTTATTCTTACCAAAATATAATTTAAAAGAAATGAAGGGTCAGATTCACAATTGCACCATCCAATTAACTTTTCAAGTTTAGAGAATCTTGATCCATGCTTTAACGCGTTTCGAATAGATTAATTTTTTTAAAAAATTACTTTTTTACTAATTTTTTATATAAAATTTAAAATGTTCGCATTCATTTATCTAAATTTAAGCAATTTTAAGCATGTGGTTAGTTTTGACTGAAACTTCTACTTTGCTTCGTACGAATGAATGTGTTTAGAATACAGGCCATGTTCCGTTTTCAATTTTAAAAGTCCTAAAGCATGATTTGAATGTCTTATCTCTTATGATTTTTGTCTAAATCGTAATTTAAACTTCGTAACAATAGAAAAAATAAACCCATCGACAGTTAAAAAAATATATTTTATAATCATCCATCATATGTTGTATGCTTTACAATAGAAGAAACTAACCTCGTCATATTTAAGGGTTTACATTTAGTTAATCACTTATTTAATAAATCTGTATTATATAAAAATTATATTTTAAATTTTGTTGATATAAATTACATTTGTTTTATTTTAATAAATTATATAAAAATAAATTAAAAATAACTTATAAAAACCGTAAATTATTTTTATAATTTTTAAAAAACTCTTTTAAATTTGCACTACTTCTTTTATCGGGGCTTAGTTGATTGGGAGTTGTTTAGTACGTAGTTTACGAGTTTTACAATTAATCAGTACCAAATCATATTTACACCGGGTTTATTTAAATTCGTTTACGAAGCATATTCATTGGTATTTGGTACTCAGACAAATATATTTTGAAATAAATTCATGATTTGTAAAGTAGAAAATTAACTTAGCTTATTAGTTAATTAGATAGCGAAATCAGTTGAATGTACATTCTTTCATTGCTTGGTCATTAATTAAAGGTTCAGGGCCAACCAAATTACGAGCCAACTTATTTTAGGTCTCTATAAAAATTACACTTATCAATGATAATTTTTATATAAAATAAAAATTATTATTTAATAAATAATATTAATATGTTAATAATAATATTTTTTATTAAAAAATCTTTAATCTTATCATATCTTCTCTGTTTCATA